GGGGGGGGGGGGGGGGGGGGGGGGTAAAAACCCCCCCCCCCCCCGGCCCCAAGCAAAAAAAAATTTTTTGTTGCTTGGGGCCGGGAGTGGGGTTGTTCGAACCCCCCGAACCCCCCCTGGCTACGGGCCTGCCCTGTGACCCTTTGTTCCTTCTTTTTATGATTATTTTTGCATCTTACTTTTTGTTTTTATATTTGTTGTTGTCTGTTTGTTTGCTTCTTATACATGTCGCTGCTGTGGTGCATGTTCTTGCTGTTGTTGTCGTCTTGCGCTGCTACCATACTGGCTGTTGTTCGCCGCGGTTGCCATAGAATAACTAAGCGTGATATATCTGCTTATAAACAAACGCATTCTGTATTGAACATTTGCGTTGATCTTTTCATCACAGTCGCCGGTGCTGGGAAACACGTCACAGAACACAGTCAGAAGAGAACCCCTATTTAACTCGCGAGCGCCGTTTGTATAGGCAAATGTTTACGCGCCGTGCGGCTGCGCACCGAATTCCAAGCCTGCCATTGTGTCAACCTTGCGCGAAATCGGCCCGGAGACAGGGCCAGCGTTACTCGTGTTTGCAAGCCGACTTACGGGGCCGCGATGATTGACTGCGAGTCAGTGCGTGCGCGCGTGCGGTGTCAGTGAGAGGCGAGATGCCAAGCGACCCGGTTCGTCTGCTCTGCTCCCGCCCCGCTGCCGCTACCTCCGCCGCCCTCAGCCGTGCGACCACGACGCGTCTGCGAGACACCACCCGTAGCAGCTCCGTTAGTCGTAGCCTGGTGGAGAAACTCAGCGAAAGCGCCTGCTTCGTATACGTGGAGCCCGGGATAACAGGAACGTGAGCGAATCCGTCGGGGACGTGAGCGAACGGACCGGTGAGATTATAATGACGGAAGTCGGCGCGTGAATTGCGAGATTTATTCGTATTCCATATCGACACGCGGGAAAACTCGACGCAATTTGAACTAGGGCAGCGGTGTGATTATATGGAAGTGGAATTCGCGCAGGGGTGTGCGTAATATCGGAACATCAGCGAACACTCACGTTATATTGGACGGAGACATATTGCAGCGTGGTTCCCTCACACGGTGTTTGCTAGTAATAGCAGTACTACAGAAGCTGTATCTATAGGTGAGATACAACCGTTACAACACATATCCAAGTGAAATATACCGCTACGACCTAAATACACGTTAAACATAACACTATAATTTAAGTTTGGGTGTGATATAACCCCTACAGTCTAGGTGAGGTATAGTCACATAAAAGCTACAACCCATGCGGGGTGTATAAACGTATAGGCGAGAGGTATAGACGCGGTGATAAATTCGCTACTGGCGTGACCAGCAACACGGTATAGACTGTCACGATGCAGAAGCCCGTCTACTACACGGGCTCGGCGCGCTCGCACTCCATGTGGGACCTGGAGACGCCGACGCCAGACTACGGCTGTTACATGGACACTGGCGGAAGCCGCTACAACGCGGATAGTTACGGCTACGGAGCCAGGAGCAGTCGCTTGACACGCGCGCGCAGTATGAAGGAGTCCGCCGGACTTAACGACCCGTCCGTCGATCCACGGGACTACCCACCGGCGAAGCACGGTGCAGGCGTGAGGCCCGGGCAGGGCCCGCGCCGCGCCACCTCCCAGTATAGTCTGCCACCGAACGCCGGGGACGCGGCCGAGGATCGAGCCGAGATGCGTCAGGCGCAGTCTCAGTACAACCTGTACGGAAGGGAGTGGGGCGGCGGCGGCGG